GGGAAGAACTAAGACAGGGGGCTGTAAAGGTTTAAAATGTGGAGGTGAAAGAAGGGAAGGAAGGGGCAAAAGAAGATTTGAGCAATGTGGATTTTTTGGACTTCTTTAGAAGTAGAAGGGCCCATTGGTATTAGGTGTCGTACGAGGTCTTGTCGATACTGGGGCTTGTGAAGGAAGGACGCGAAGATGTGAGACAGACTGAGTTGAGTTTGGGACGTAAGCCAAGGACAGCAAAAGAAATTTGATGGCGGGGTGGCTATGGGAGGGGTAACAACAGAAGGAGGCTTTCAGAAAAATGGGACCCCAGAAGTGGGGGGGGGTTTTTTGGAAACACGAGAATAAAAAACACGGGGGAGGTCTCCCTTGGAGGCGGAGATGAGTAACTGCTAGCATAAAAGGGGGACCTTCTGCCTCTTTAGGCAACGGATTTCACGTTATTTAAATAGAAACCTGGCAAGGGGGAGTACGAAGGTGAGTCATTTCAAAATTTAAAGGGAAGTGGAGGTTGACTGCAGATGTATTAGAATGGTCGTCGGCACCACAGACTGGCATTCGCCATGATCTGCAATATTCGCTGGAGTGACAAAAGCCAGAATTTCTACATTGTTGCGGTGTAGGTATCACCTTTCGAATTTAATCGATGTCCCGCGAATATACAGAGGACGGGCGTTTTCGGGGTGTCAAAAGTTTTAAAGGGGGCCACATTGCAAGGGGGAAGTCTCCGCCCCCGGCAGGAAGGATATAAGTGTTACTTGAGGGTTGGAGAGGATCCTGGAGTTCCAGCTTGTCAAAAAAAGTCATTGCCACATGACTGGAAATTCTGTTGGGGGCTATGGTATGGGGCAGATGGGCAGTACCACTACAAGAATTGAGAGAAAGATGTTTTCATAGTGATAGATAGTATCGATATCGAAAGGAGAGAAAGATCATGGGTTGGTAGTGACGAAGGTGTACTGGGTCTTGAGAGCATGAAATGAAATATCCTTTTACCAACATACACAGGAGCGCTTTGGCCAATTATGGTCAGGAAAGGTAGTTAGAAGAAGAAAAATCGGTCAAGTAAAAAAATTTAGTCCATTGTGTGTCCGAAACGGCGTGGAGGGGGAGAGTGTTGACGTGCGGTCTTTTCGAGAGAATGGGGAAGGTAACGAAGGAGCACCATCAGGAGATTTTACGTTGGCGTTTAGGAGTAGGACCGGAGTTGGTCTGGTGGAATGGGGCGGGGGATTCGGAAAAATTGCCGTACCGTTAGGGGAGAAGCCGAACATAGTCAAAGGAGATGGAGTTCAGACAAATTGAAGGGGTTCAGTCGAAGCCCCTGTACCTGAAAAAAGGGGGATGAAGGAAAAAAGCACCAGCAAAAAGTACGGGCATTTAGGAGTGTCCGAAAAAAGTGGTCTAAACACAAGGCAGGGTTTAGAATGGGGTGCAGTATCAAGAAGGGGCTCCGGGGTAGTGGTTATTTGGGTTGGGTTTTCCATGGTTAGGGGTTTCTCTTTGCTTTTTTTTTTTAGAAAAAAAAAGAAGAAGAAAAGAAAATAAAAATTAAAAAAAAAAGAATAAAAAAAAGGGGGAAGGGGGAGAGAATAGTTCCAGGAGGAATGAAAGGGCCGGAAATCTCCCTCCACCCCCCAAGAGGACCTCAGCACCGCTAGTAGCGCAGAGCAGCCCTGGGTACCTGTGCCATCCCTACCTTAAGCCCGTAAACCAGCAATCCGGAATAGCAAATCACATTGCCAAGGCTTTTCCTTGGTGGACCCAAAAAATTTAGGGCGGCCGGAAAAATCCCTTTCCACAAGATACCTCCTTCAAAACCCCCACCCCCGGAATCCGAAAAAGTGGCTTCCAGATGATTTCAAACCGTCGCCCCCGAAAAGACCCAAAGCTACTCCGGGGGTACCCGAGGGGATCGGGAATCCCCAAGCAATCCATTTCCAGGGAAACTACGCCCCGCCAAGAACCCCAAAGGAAAGGGGGACCCCCGGTGTCCTTTCCCCTACTAGGGAAATAGTGTGCCTGGGGGAAAAACCCAAAGGCCCAAAAAAAGGAAGGGGAAAGGGAGGGGTGGGGAGGAGGAGGAGGAAAGGAAAAAGGGGAGGTGGGATGGGGAGGGAAATGGGGGGGGAAATTTGGTCGGTCGAGGAAGAAGACCGACAGGGCTAATTCCTCAGACCAAGAGCCTCTTCACCACGCCCAGGAGCCCCCCTTGAAGAGGTGGAGGAATAGGAGGTAATCAGGTTTAATCTGAGATAGAGGAGGATAACCTCAATTCCTTGGAACGGAAGGCCTTCATTAGCATCAAGGCACCCCCTTCCCCTTGAATGGACTGTAACTTAGTAAAATAACATATAATCATAACCATATTAAGAGAATCCATAGACTGGCATATAAGCATTAATCTAATAGATTTATTTGCTCTTGATGGCATCTGTCTGAATACAGCCTTTTTTGTATCAGTGAAGGATTGTTCTGACAGAACTAGATATATTTTGGAATCTCTTATTTAGGCATAGCTACAAAAAATGTATAGCATACTTGTATTCAGAATAGGTAGGTAGGAAGATTATTTTGTGCACTTTGGTGCCTTTTTTTGGAAATTGAAGTGTTTCAAGACTTGAAAAAATGGTCACTTTTAAACAGATGATTGAATGGGGACTCAAATTGTAGTCCTTGCATATAGCAGGCCCAACACTAATCATTCAGCTCCATAGCTTACAATTAGATGATTTTACAACCAGCACTAACTGTGACCATACTGACCCATCCCACAGCCCCACCATGCATACATTTATTCTTATGTGCTTCTTATCAGAGAGAACATGAATATTCAGAAGTAGAGCACTGTAGTATATAAAAGCTGTTTTGAATTTCTTAAGGTATCTTGATGCTGGTGAGGAGCTCTTGATCCAAGTAACTGAACCTTTCTTTCTTGAATTGATCCTGAATGCCTCCCATTTCCAAGGCTTTATATATCCCTTGTGTGTTTAGTGGTTCCCCTCTGAATATAATAATAATTGAACTTAAACAGTAAGTCATATAAGTGTGATGGAATTTATATGATTATTGAAAAGTAGCAAAAAAAGGAAATAATGTTGTAGACATATACGTTCTCAGTGGAAGCCGAGTACATGTCTACAAATGATTACTATGGCTCATTATTTGTACCCCTGAATGATTACTATGGCTCATCATTTGTATCCCTGATTATTAATCCCAAAGATTAACATTCTGGGGTACAAAGTGATTACTATGGCTCATCAAATAATGCTATTACTGTACAGTACTTTGTTAATTGAGCTAATTGAAGAATTGTGTTTGTTCTTGTCTGGATATACCAGTGCTGCATTAACCCTTTGGGGGTTTCGGACATACTAGTACTGTACATTTTACAACCCAGGGTTTTTGACGTACTAGTACGCCTAAATTCTAGCGCCCTCAAATCTAGTGAGAGAAAGTCGGTAGGCCTACATATGTAAGAATGGGTCTATGTGGTCAGTGTGCATAGTATAAAAAAAAACTTGCAGCACACAGTGCGTAATGAGAAAAAAAAAGCTTTGACCGTGTTTTTGGATTAAAACAGCGACTTTGCACTGTATTTTCATATGGTATTTATTGTTGTATTCTAGTTTTCTTGGTCTCATTTTATAGAATGGAAGATATATTACAGAAATTGAATTTTTGACGGGTTTTAAAATGAAAAGTCCCTTGAAATTGAGCTTAAAAAGTAGCAAAATGTTCGATTTTTCCCAAAATTTCAAAAGTAAAAAAATCTCCAAGGCCCAAATACACATCAACTGGCGATCAAATTTTTTCACAAGTGCGCTGATTTTATTTATACATTCTACACTAAACATTCGCATAACAGTAAATCAAATTTTTTTTTGTAAAATAAAAATTAAAGTGGAAAGCCAAAGAAATATAAGGGGGGCCCTGGGGAGTGACAACGAACAAAAACTTTTATTAGTGCTAGGATATCTTTTTTTGTTTTTTCTGGACCCATTCGGAAATTGGCAGCTTTTGAAATTTGGTGAAATTGTCAAAAATTTCTAAATTTTTGCCCACTTTATTGGGTAGTTAAACGGTAAAAAGATGGTTTCTTGTACCATTCGATAGAAAAAAAAGGGGTTTTAGCGAAATGTTATTTTTTTGTCGATAGTACACTGGGAAATTTGGCCCAAAAAAAGGGCCAAAGTGGCCAAAAAACGCCGATTGGAAACATCGTCGAGACGCTAACTTCGCAAGAGCATAATTCCGTAAGTTTTCCATCAAATTTCATACTTTTGGTGTCATTATGATCGGGAAAAGATTCTCTATCTTCTCATTAGAAAAAAATTTTTTTTTTTTTTTTTAAATTTGACCGACCCTGAGAACAAGTCTCTGAGAGGACCTGTCGACCCCCAAAGGGTTCATGTTGATTCAGGCTAATATATTTCTTCAAGACTACCTTTTATGAATTCATCAAAAATTTCGACATCCAGATTACTTAACTCTAATAATTGAGAATTACCATTGAAATTGTTGTAAAAAATTCCAGAAATGTCTCTCCATATAGTTTTCTGACCTCCAAGTTGAGATCAGCGAGAAGAACTGAACATAAACGAGCAGCGTTGTCGAAAGTTTGTCAACTATGAAAGGGCCTGTGCAGAATAAAGGCAGTCAATAGTTTGTTGAAATCTTTGAAAGAGATAATCATATCCATATGATGCTCCACTCAGTAGAGCATTTAGTAATTTGGCAGAGACCTTCTGCTGGTTTACTGCTCCAGCCCATTAAAAATTCAGTATTACATCTTAAGGTGTTTTTTCAATTTCTTTAATACTGTAGTGCATTTCTGGGTGTTCCAAACTTGTGATTATCATATTTCTTGTTTGCTTGTCTTTAACTTATATTCCTTATTAATCAGTTCTTTCGTTGTGTCCTTAATTATATACGTATAGGAACAGTTGTTACTATTTTTTTTACTAGGCATTTATTGCAAGAGATATAATTATTTTAAAGAAATTTAAAGTTGATATTTTTCAGATTTAATATAATGGCATCGGGAGGGAGCAGTTTGACTCAGTGGCGTCTCTGGGTACAGCTACGGGACTACATTGTCCGCACTACACGTGCTTTGGCAGCCTTTCAAAGAGACCTTCCTCAAGTGCTTAAAAGCATTCAAGGTTCGTTGCAAGCTGGAACAGAGGCCAATCCTAAACCAGAGGTGAATAAATTTGAAAGTGATAATGAAAACAAGAAAGAAATTACCTTGAAACCTGTAGGTCAGTTACTCTCAATTTCTGAGTTTATTGTACCATCCACATGCATATATAATCTATAATCCAAAATATTTACTTGAAACATGTGAAATATTTTGATGTTGATAAACAAGAAAATATGCTAATATGTGGATATTGTGTTATTTCAGGATATTATGGCATTGTTATTGTATCTTTAAAAAAAGACTACATATTTTGTTCCTAATGTGCACACCTTAGCTTAGGTAGTCAGAATATTAACTCTACTATAATGTTCCCTTGTGTATTGATATTAACCCATTCTTTTACAGACATGAACACTGAGAACTTATCTGAACTGCAGAGAGCACTAAAAACCGTTAATACTTATATTCCATTGTATTTCTCACAAGTTCGCTTAAATTTTTCGAAAAACGAGGACCCTAAGGGCTCACAAAAAAATATACCAAAGTGGAAAGTAAAAAAGAATGTCATTTCAAAGGTATGTAACAATTCTTGTCTTGTTACAGCTTAACACAGTTGTCCATTAAGATTATTTTTAGCACATCATCCATTTTGCTCAAACACAGGATGACCTGCAGAAAAAAAATATATTTTCCTGCTGTTGCCTTTCCAGAATAGCACAGACATCAAAGTTCAGTAATGGCCCACTGAACTGCAACAGCCTCACCTGACATTCAGATCACAAATATTTTCTTCCCCACCTTCAGTGCTCATTCCCAGTTAACTGGTTTCTCTAGTTTCCTTCATAGCTGTTACCATGCTCACTCTCCAATATCTAATCACACACAAGAACAGATAACCCATTCACCTGTCCATGTGAACACACAAACCTTCAGGATGGTCAAACCCCTACCTTTAAATGCTTCTTTCACACTATCCTTCCTTGATTGTCTCCTACACCATCTTCCATTTGCTCCAGATTCATATATGCTCTTAATCAACCTACCTTGCTTTATTCTTTCAAGGCAGAACTATCTCAGCAATGCCTTTTTCACTCTGATTTATATATTTCATATTACTACACTTTTTGCTACTTTGTCTTATTCTCTGTGTAATATTCATACTACACATTTGTTAAAAATACAGACATAACATCTCCACTGCCTCCATCCTTTTCCACATAGCAACATTCAGAGACCACACCTCTCACCCATAAAAAAAAAAAGGCCCAGCATCAATATACCTCAATACAATCTAATTTTTGCATTCATTGAAAAAACATCTCTCTTTCTATAGATTCTTTATCACTCCTGCAAATTTTTATTCCTTGTGTTATCTGTGAATTATCTCATCATTCACTGACTTACCTGCTGTAATATACATTCCTCAAGTACTGTATATATGTAAATACATTCACTTCCTTCATACTTCATCCTTACAGTCTGATTACTATCATTTCATTCCCATTACTGTGCTTCTTTTCATTTGAATTACCTTGCTTTTTTTTTTTTGCATTTGCTCTCAAAGTACTACTGCACTCCTTTCTAAATTCTTCCACTACCTCTACAGCCTTATTCAAAATCTCCTGTTAATAGTAATTATCATCTGCAAAAGAAGTATTGTGACAATTCACTCTGTACAGCTTCTCGTCACTTTACGACGTACAGTGGACCCCCGGTTAACGATTTTAATCCGTGCAAGAGGGGTAATTGTTATGCGAAATAATCGCTATGTGAATGAATTTTCCCCATAAGAAATAATGGAAATCAAATTAATCCGTGCAAGACACCCAAAAGTATGAAAAAAAAAATTTTACCACATGAAATATACATTTTCCCACACACAAAGAGAAGGATACATGCACAATAGTAGAGTAGTACATGCACAGTATATATTGTGCATGTACTAGTCTACTAAATGAAGAATAAATGACACTTACCTTTATTGAAGATGCAGCAATGACTGATGAGACACTGTGTCCTGGGAGTGCCTTTACCTCCTGAGTACTGTAGGTCCTGTTTGGCATTTTCTTCCAGAACAGGCCTTATCACACTGTGTTTGCCACTACGATTCTTAAATCTCTCAAACCAACCTTTGCTGGCTTTAAATTCACCAATATGAGCACTAGTTTCCAGGCATTTTTCCCTGTTCACCTGGGTGTTAGTCGACTTGTGTGGGTTGCATCCTGGGAGACAAGATTAGGACCCCAATGGAAATAAGTTAGACAGTCTTCGATGACACTGACTTTTTTGGGTTATCCTGGGTGGCAAATCCTCTGGGGTTAATTGTTTCTTGGTATTCTCAATAAGCCACACCAACAACGGTGCTACAGCAGCAGCAGCAGCTGACAGTGCAGCAGTAGCAGCAGCAGCAGCTGTACCACCAATAGTAGCGATGGTTGATTGGGGTTTATTATACAACCTGGCCAGCTCAGAGACATGCACTCCACTTTCATACTTATCAATGATCTTTTTCTTCATCTCTATTGTAATTCTCACCCTTATTGCTGTAGGGTTGGCACTAGAAGCTTTCTTGGGGCCCATGGTCACTTATTTTCCAGAAAAAGCACCGAAAACACTGTAATACGAAATATTCCGATTGTATGCTTGGATGTTACCGCGGAGGCTGGCTGGTAAACAATGCCACCGGCGGAACATGTGAGCGTGGCTCAGGCCGCGTCTCGGACGAAAATCGGTAAGCGGGTTTTTAAGCGGTATGTGAGGCAAAATTTTTGCGATTAAAGTAAGCGGTATGCGAAATAATCGCTATGTGATGCCATCGTTATGCGGGGGTCCACTGTACTTGCTTACCGACGCCTTGAACTTATGACGGGCTCTCTGACCGGTATTCGTGCCTAAATAATGTATATTAGAGCTGATTTCCTCTATTTATTTCAATATACGTACAGTACACTACTGTATAAACATTTAAAAATATACTAGAAATGTTATAAATGGTGCAAAGGTGACATTAAAACAATATCAAAGATGGGTGATACAAACTCACTACCATTATAGTATGCTTCTCACTTAGCGACGAATTTGTTTAACGATATGGTCTTAGGAACGGAACTCCGTCGTTAAGTGAGGAGAGGCTGTATATTAAGATTCATTGAAATGGAAACCTGTAATTGTTTTACATTATGGTACAATAATGGTAAAATGAACCTGCATCAATGTTCTTGTAAATCTGTTTCAGGCAACCATCGATGCACGAACACGGTTTTTAGTCAGTGGTCTTGGTGACCACTTAACTGAGGGAGGACGCTTGAGGAAGCTTGAAGAACTGTGTAACCACCTTAGACAACACCCACAGACTAAAGGAGTTGCTGTTAAGGTGAGCCTATTTATTTTTGTGCCTTCAGTATACAGCCTCTCCTCACTTAACGACGGAGTTCCATTCCTAAGACGACGTTGGTAAACAAATTCGTTGCTAAATGAGGGGCATATTATAATGGTAGTGGGTTTGTGTCAGCCATCTTTTTACATTGTTTTAACCCTTTGACTGTCGCGGCCATATATATACGTCTTACGAGGTACCGTGTTTGACGTAGTGGAAGGAAGGCGGGGTAGGGGTCGGCCTAGGAAGGGTTGGAGGGAGGGGGTAAAGGAGGTTTTGTGTGCGAGGGGCTTGGACTTCCAGCAGGCATGCGTGAGCGTGTTTGATAGGAGTGAATGGAGACAAATGGTTTTTAATACTTGACGTGCTGTTGGAGTGTGAGCAAAGTAACATTTATGAAGGGATTCAGGGAAACCGGCAGGCCGGACTTGAGTCCTGGAGATGGGAAGTACAGTGCCTGCACTCTGAAGGAGGGGTGTTAATGTTGCAGTTTAAAAACTGTAGTGTAAAGCACCCTTCTGGCAAGACAGTGATGGAGTGAATGATGGTGAAAGTTTTTCTTTTTCGGGCCACCCTGCCTTGGTGGGAATCGGCCAGTGTGATAATAAAAAAAAAAATAAAAAAAATTCTAGCGGCTTCAAATCAAGAAGGAGAAAGCTGGTAGGCCTACATGTGAGAGAATAGGTCTGTGTGGTCAGTGTGCACCACATAAAAAAAATCCTGGAGCACGCAGTGGATAATGAGAAAAAAAAAAACTCTGACCGTTTTTTTTAATTAAAATGCCGACTTTGTGGTCTATTTTTGTATAGTATTTATTGTTGTATTCTAGTTTTCTTGATCTCATTTGATAGAATGGAAAACATATTATAGGAAAAGAGATGATTTTGATTGATTTTACTATAAAAAG